AATGATCGCTGAGAAAATTGACAACAAGAAAAAAATATATATTTTGTTTTGCATAAATAAAGAAAGAGCGAGAAGTACCTCATGAAGTTTGAAGGTTGAAAAGAACTAGGTAACCTTGCAAGCTTAGTGAACATATATTCTTCTTCTTTTCTCGGAACATAAAGATGTTAAGAGTTTGAGCAAGAAAATGACTTGAGAGTTGACATATGGACAAAGAAGAAGACAATGAATTTTTCAGGGCATTTAATAAATATTATACTCTTTTGAAATTCTTCTCGGTCTGATTGTAAAAGAAAGGAGTAAACTAAGTTTAAAATTTGAATGATTGCTTGGGCATATGGTTTTGCAGAGTTACAGCTGTCTTCCATGTATATTTTTTATTTTGCTATTTGGTATAGTCAAAAAGTGAATTAATTACACTTTTCTTTTGGTGTTGAAATTTCGATAGGTCTAATAGAATGTGAAAATAACACTTGGTCTTTGTTAGTAAGTGACCGTACATAAAACTAAGTAGGCTAAGGTTATTCTATTAATCTATTATTTTTGTTAGTTCCTTTCATTTTTCCAAGATCCATTTATTTAATACTTAGGATTATTAATTATTTTTTTCATTTCAATATCCTAACCCCCAGGGCATTTTATTAAAATGCCATTTATGTTTTTCACTATGAACAACGCCTCGCTCCTACGTTCCACTGAACAAATTGTACAACCTATATATTTAATATAGACGTAAACATTCTACACCATATATGTTTGATATAGACGTACAAGAACTGTATGTTTAATAAAAATATAATAATGATCATGGTCCACTGAACGAATCGTAAACCCTATATGTTAAGAGTTTGAGCAATAAAATGGCTTCACAGTTGAGATATGGATAAAGAAGAAGATGGTAAAATTTTTAAAGCATTGATAAATATTACACTCTTTTGAGATTCTTCTTGGTCTGATTTTAAAAGAGTTATTATTTTAAGGAGTAAACGAAGTTTGCAAGACTAATCAACGGATTGTTTGTGCAGATAGTTTTGCACAATTACAGCTCCATACGATTCGTTCAATAAAGAATACTTTATTACCAACAACTAACAATTTTATGTACGGAGTTGTAACTCTGCAAAACCATTTGCACAAAAAATCTGTTTAATCATCAAATGAACTTCATTTACACAGGGTCGCTTAAGCGATGATGTGAAAGGCAGAATCAATATCTGCCCAGGTGCATGATTGCTTAAGCGATTCTTCTATTTTTCACTTGGTCGATTAAGCGATCGTAGATCGCTTAAGCGATCATGTGATGGGCAGAATCAATATCAGCGATTCGTGATATCGCTTAAGCGATCCGTGATATCGCTTAAGCGATTCTTCTATTTTTCACTTGGTCGATTAAGCGATCGTAGATCGCTTAAGCGATCATGTGATGGGCAGAATCAATATCAGCGATTCGTGATATCGCTTAAGCGATCCGTGATATCGCTTAAGCGATTCTTCTATTTTTCACTTGGTCGATTAAGCGATCGTAGATCGCTTAAGCGATCATGTGATGGGCAGAATCAATATCTGCGATTCGTGATATCGCTTAAGCGATTCTTCTCTTTTTCACTTGGTCAATTAAGCGATCGTAGATCGCTTAAGAGATCATGTGATGGGCAGAATCAATCTGCCCAAGTGCATGATTGCTTAAGTGATCCGTGATATCGCTTAAGCGATTCTTCTCTTTTTCACTTGGTCAATTAAGCGATCGTAGATCGCTTAAGAGATCATCTGAAGGGAAGAATCAATATCTGCCCAGGTGCACGATCGCCTAAACGATCATGGGCAATGCATACTTTTCCATCTTTTCTCCTGAATTTTGACTAACTAAAATTACCAACACATATTAATTCCATACTTTCTCTTGAATTTGACAACCTAATTCCAAACTAAAATCACCAACAAATATTAGGCCATGTAACAAGAATACTAAATATAAAGAATGATTTACTCAAGGTAACAATAAAATTTAAAACATCAATAATTGAAAATAATAATCATCAACGGTTGGCCTTGGCAACTCCCTGAATTTCATCCTTCTTCGAACCTAATTTTCTGGATCTGCATGTGATTACTTCTGGCAACTGCTTCTCTTGTGGCCAAGTTGCTTGCAAATGGAGCACTTATTCATCTTCTGAGGAACCTCAGAGGCTGATGGAATACACTTAACTCTTTTTCTCCCCTTTACTGTCTTCTTGAATGGCGGATGGATGATAATGTCAGCCAACTCTGGCGGCACTACCCACTGCTCTTCTGGAGGCACTGGATATCTCATTTCTGAATAAGCTGGCATATAGTGATTTGCCATATACAGAGAGGAGCAAAGTTCCATGTAAATTCTTGAACTAAAATCTGGCTTCCATTGGTGTTTCAGTGCTGCTAGTGTATGAGAACAAGGTAAATGTTGAATGTCAAACACTTTACAGCTACAAGTTTTACTAACAAGGTTAACTAGGGCATCCGAACCATAGCCGCACACAATGAACTCTTAAGAATTAAGAGGATAGGCAAACAGTGCATTTGATAGTTCCATACGTTCTCGCAATAATTTTTCAGCTGACGGAACAAGGGTTGTAGTAAAATTAGCTGACTCTGTACGACGCTTATGGAACCACCGTGACAATGTCTTCTGGATTGCATCAAAAAGTGTAACTATTGGAAACTCTCTTTCTATTAACAACTTCGAATTTATGGACTCGGCTATGTTCGTGGTCATGACATCAAACCTTCTTCTAGGAAAGTCCGCTCTACTCCATCGCTTATAACCAACATCATGCTCAAGATACTTAGCAACTCTATCATCCTTGATTTGGATTTGCTGGAAGTGCTCCTCGAACTCATCAACCCGATAACCTTTTGCTGCCATGTAGTATGTTTGAAGGAGACCAGCACACTTAAACTTTTGTTTTATGTTCTCACCAAGGTGCCTCATACAAAATCCGTGATGTGCTGTCACTGTTAGGCACTATCGTACATAATTGTTGAAAAAACCAAGTCCACGACTTGTCATTCTCAGAGTCAACCACACACCATGCAACATGATATTTGTGATTCTCGCTGTCTTGTGCAATGGCCACCAACAATGTACCTCTATACTTTCCTGTCAAAAAGCAACCATCAACAACCAACACCTTTCTTATGTTTACAAAACCCCTTATAGCAGAACTGTAAGCAACAAAAAAAAATATTTAAACATCATATTCCTGTCCCACTTCAAAGTCGTCTTATTACCTTCGTTTGTCAACTCAAGCATATAACAGTACGCTTCTAATACTGTATACCCGTGCTCCGACGTGCCCCTCACAAAATCTTGTGCATGTTGTCTCCTTTTCTAGCATTTCTAGTAACTAACAACACATCCCAACTCTGTGCGCACAAGTCTCTGAATGTCTTTAGGAGATGGACCTTTCCCTTCAACGAACTAACTTTTGAAAAATTGTCCAATAACATCAGCGGAGGCTTGTCGATGCTCACGTGAAATATGTCCCAAACCACATGTGTGCTCACGGGTATATGTGCTAAGAATAAATTTTTCTGACTCTTCCAACCTTCTACAATAAATCCGCCACTTGCATTTTCGTTCATGACATGCAATCGTCACAACCAATGAATTTGACTTTTTGGTGATGAACTCAAAATTACCTCTCACCGCAACAAGTTTTAGCTTCCTTACCACTTCCTCTTTGTTGTCAAATAAATACCTTATGTGCAACTCTGATCCATCTGTAAAAACATGAGCTGATTCACAACTACTTGCAATTGCCCTTTCTGAGCTTGCATAAATGACCATAGTGTTCTCTTCCTCACAAACTACACCTTCTGCATAATTTTAATTTAAAGGAATCTTTACATCTGCGGGAACATGTACGGGGTCCTCCTCCTCAACATTTTCATTTTGCCGCCCATGACCAACCTCTATTATAGTGTCCTCCTCACCACCCAATTCACCCTCTACTCTTGATTTTTCAACTAACAAATCAATGCCCTCGTAGTTCAAATTAAAACCAGGCAAATCTCCTCCAATTTCCTCATTATCCCCTTCCTTTGAACCAACTTCCAACGGTTTTCCTACAAAAGAAACCCTTAAAATCAGCCTCGAACCATTATCGTCCACATCAATCATATATAACTTCACACTTTCATCAGACTTTAATATAGTAGGAGGTACCTTATAATGTTCAGGAACTCTGCTTAAAACATACTTCACAACTATATCACTACGTGAGCAACTCAAATCACCTCTTCTAATTATTTCATCAATCAACTCATCAAAACTAACCTCTGTGCTCACAGCAATTGGTATAACTTCATTACTCTTCCCAATCCACTTTTAGCTACTTTTTTCCCCCACCCACTCACCAAAATATTCAACACCTAAAACAACTTGTCCCGTGTCTAATAATAGCCAACTACCTATAATGCAAGAAAAAAAATATTCTTAACTGATGTACTAAGGGTTAAAATATTTTAAAAAGCATATACACAGTCACTTGACAGATCTGGTGTATTGCTTAAACGATCTGGTATATCGTTTAATAGATTGCTTAAGCGATCTAATGTAAATGAGCATGATCGCTTAAGCGATATTATGTCATTTACTGATCGTTTAAGTGATTTGCTACTTTTAGCAAATCGCTTAAGCGATCTTATGCCACATACCTGATCGCTTAAGCGATCTATCTGCTGCATTACCAAACGTAATCATATCCAGAACACGTTTTCAGTCATCTCCACCTACAATCGGTGCTATCACCCCTAGCTACCCATAATGCAAGAAAATTTTCAACAAATTCCACTCCTTTCAACTTCTATTACATCAAACACAACCTAAACAACTAAATCAAAATCATAACCCAAACTTAATCCATCATTAAATCTTTCTAAATCAAAAGGGGAGATACACATACCTGGACGAAATTTTAGTAGGAGGAGGAGGAGGAGGATATGTGTTGGAGAAGATGTTAATGGCGGAGGAATGCATTAATGTAGCGGGAGGAAGAAGAAGAAGGTTTTTGGGTTTGTTTGTAAGATTTTTGACTCTTTGGAGACTTATTATAATTTTTAAAAGATTACACAATTATTCATTAATCTTAATTGACCCCCTAATCATGTTTAATTAAGCTTAATAAAAAACAAGGCCATTTAGTTAAAATTTACAAACTGTATAGCCTTTTAATTAAATTTTAAGTTAAAATGGTCTTTTAATAAAATCCCCCAAAAACGACCTACAAAAACACTCTTCAATTCATACATGGCTTTGAGATTCAGATCCTTATTTTATTCGTCTTCAATCTCTCAAAACCCATCCTCGAAAGTTAATGTTTTATTTTTGTTAGCTCACTTACACAACCTCACATCTTCAAGCTCCAAAAATGAAGTTTCGTATTCTTTCAAAAAACCCCTTGAACGATCCTCACTTGCTAAATTCCTCATAGAAAATTGTCGATCAGGTAGCTTTACTTTGAATGAAGCATTGTACTTTTTTTATTACATGATTAATTCAAAACCCCTTTCTCCAATTTCATCATTCACTACTTTGTTTAGTGCACTAGTTAAGAAGAAGCATTATTATGAAGTGATTTTGCTATATAAGCTGTTGAATTCAATTGGGTTGTCTCCAAATTTTATGTCTTTGAATATTTTGATGAATTGCCTCTGTAATATTGAAGGGGTTTCTGATGGTTATCCGGTTTTTGGGGCGATTTTGAAGTTGGGTTTTAGCCCAAATACCGTGACATTTACTTGTTTGATTAAAGGTCTGTGTGTAGAGAGAAAGATTATGGAATCAATGGAATTGTTTAAGAAAATGAATGCTGTTGGTTGTAGGGCTAATGTGATCACTTGCAACACTTTGATTGGTGGATTATGTAAAACAGGGAAGATAAGTGTTGCCATTAAGTTGCTTGAAGAGATGGTTAATGGGAATAAAGAATCTGTTGTTTCTTGTAGGCTAGATGTTGTTGTTTATACTACTTTAATTGATGGTCTTTGTAAGGCTGGATTGGTTGAGAAGGCTAGACAATTATTTTTGGAACATATGATTCAAATGGGTGTGGTTCATGACATTTATACCTACAACATTTTCATGAACGGTTATTGCTTGTCCGATAGAATTGGTGATGTAAGGGAGTTGTTTGATTCTATAACTAGAAAAGGGTATAGGCCTAATGTTGTTTGCTACACTACTCTAATCAATTGGTATTACAAGAATAAAGAAGTCAATGAAGCTGTTAGTCTTTATCGAGAGATGATTTCAGAAGGAATTAGGCCTAATGTGATTACATATAACACCTTGTTAACTGACTTTTTCCTTATAGCTAAGGTGAAAGATGCACGGAATTTAGTTGGTGAGATGCGACTTAACGATGCTTTTCCTAATTCTTGGACATATAGCATTTTCATTGATGGGCTCTGCAAGAACGGATGTGTTTTGGAAGCATTGGAAATGTTTAATGCTCTAGTAAATAATAAGATTGCAGTTAGCATTGAAGGTTTGAGTTCCCTTATTGATGGATTATGTAAAACAGGGAGATTCGAAACTGCTTGGGACCTATTTCAGAAGTTTTGTCTTCATGGAAACCTGGTGCCAGATGTTGTAACATATAGCATTTTGATCAGTGGGTTGTGTTAAAATTGACAACTAGAAATGGCAAATGAGTTGTTTTCATATATGGAGGAAAAAGGTTGTGCGTACTATGCTTATGTTTGGTTTCCTCAAGGATAATGAGATACCAAAAGTTGTTGAACTCCTTCATAAGATGGTGGAGAGAAATGTGAAGCCGACTGAATGTACAATGTCCTTAGTCATGTAGTTACTAATGAAGGCCAAAAATTATAGTGAATGTTTGAGCGAGCTTCCTCAATTTCCGGTCCAAAACCGAAATTAAAGTTTACGTGATAAAACTTTAGCAAGTATTAAACTTTTTTTTGGAGCAGAATCCTGCAAAAGTTCATTCGGATGCCCAAATGCTCTATATTGGTTACGGTATGTAAAAAGTTCAGTAAACACTTTTATCTGTTCGAATTTGATAGGGATGGTGATGAGGATGATTGAGAATGATAGCTTTCTTGATCAGACATACGATACGTGATCTGTCTCTGTTGTAAGTAAATATATTGGAGGTGGCAACATTGCAAGTTGCGTTTGGATTTGCACATGTAGTAGATCTAAAGGATTTGAGGATTATTTTTGGTGTAAATTTTGGTAAGCAAAGGTTGTATAAGAGGAATTGTGGAATGGTTCTTACTTTTACTACGACAATAATGGTAGCCACTCAAGTTCATCTATTCAAGCTGATCAGTTTACTGGACAATGGTATGCTGCAACTGATTAACTTCATTCATTGATATTCTCAATTATCTAGGCTTGATAAATCTTGATTTATTTATAGTGTTTCACATGTTTCTGTTTCTCAATATATATTCTTTTTTAGTTCAGATCTGATAATACTAGAACTTAGCAGGTGTGTCTCTAATGTAGTTAATCTATTTTTTTATGTGGCAATACATTTTGGAAGTTTTAATTGCATGTTGTCATCTTTTTCCTTACTTTTTGTGGAAAATTAAGTTCTTGCTACTTTTAGTCAGATTTTGCATATATGTGGAATCAGGGGATAAAAACATTAATTTTGTTTTTTGGATTTCCTTTATCTAAGTAATTTTGTAAAAATGAATGACTAGAATTTGTTCTGATGCAGTCTGTCTCACTTTGGTTTGACTGCTTGAGATTTATGCAAGAATATGATCCATCTGTACGTGAATTTTCACCTGATGGTATTGCGAAGGCAAGAAATCTCTTCGAGCGTGCTATAACTGCTGCTGGTTTGCATGTTGCTGAAGGCAGTAAAATATGGGAAGTATATAGGGAATTTGAGCAAGCCATTCTCTATACCATAGATGAGATCAGCATTAAGGTGAGAATTTATAATGTATATATTAAAAACTTTTTAGAAAATGTGGCTGAAGGGGATGCATTCTATTAATTTTTAGAAAATGTGGCTGAAGGGGATGCATTCTATTAATCAGCTTACTTGATTATTTAAAGTCTTATTCCATCTTACTGGTTCGGTATTATGGTTAATAATGCTTTTGTGGGTCTTCCTTTATATTTCCTAGAACCATGGCTCAAGTTGCATGCCCTGTTTATTTTAGAAACTTTTTTCTTCTTTTTGTCATCTATGTATAGTTCATAATTTTTTTTCTTTCATTTGAAGTGCTATGTATAGTTCATAAATTTTTCTTTCATTGTCTATGAAGTGCTAGTACCAAGAAAAAGTATCTGTTTTCAAAATTTAGTTGGAAAATTATTGCTCTTTTGCAGGAAAAAGAAAAAAGGTTCAGCCATCGGAAGTATATTTCACCGTCAGTTTTCTGTTCCCTTTGCTAACTTAAGGTCATACTTCTTGCCTACAGTCTGGGAGGTGGAACTGGGGATTGCTCTAGATACTGAATCAGGTGATTTAGATGGGATCCTTTACTGTTGCCTCAGGTACCAAAAGGCATTGGAGATGTATAATGCTCAAGCTGATTTTGAAGAAACGATTGCAAGGCAGGCTATATCTGACTTCAAAAATTTCAACAATTCACGGTATATGGCATTTTATCGATATTGTTTAGACAGCTAATGATAATGTTGGGTTCTTATGTGATACCTTAAGATTTAGGTTAAATGGTAACTTGATATGATATTAAAGTGTAGAGGTCATGATTTGAGTCTCCATCTATTACATCCTGCTATACTTGGGTTGGTCTTCTGTTTGAATTGGGCTTGGTTATGTAACATGTGAGTTGCTGTTACAAAGCTAATATCATTGTTGTGCCCTTACCTTTTCAAGCTTAAGGTTTTAGGTCAAGTTGTTTTCAAAAAAGTTGCTGTTGAAATTTCATTATAATTTCAATTTCTATGGTCCTTCTTGCTTCTAATATAGTAATTAGTTTAGTAACTTTAGATCTCTCTTTTCTTCTCTTTTCTGAGGGTGGGGGGGGTTGTATAAGAGCTTGCAATGTGGCAATAGGTTACCTTTTTTTTTTTTTTTTTTTTTTCTTCTTAAAATGTTAATGCTATTATTTTAATTTGAAATTTTTGCAGATCTACTTGAAGTTTGAACAGTTTGGAGATCCAGCCTGTGTTTAACTTCTTATGAACGTGCTATTACTGAGTTTCTTTACAAGTGATCTCTAGCTGGGTTATACTCGCTATTTGGATAAAACCTTGAAGGTTTCACTCTTATTTTCTTTTCAATTCTTTATGTTCCAGGTATTGGAATTTAGCAATTAATCATCTTTTTTTTAGGTAGGAAATATTGTGCGGGTGTCATTCCAGGGCTAGGAAAAATTGTCCTTGGGTTGGTGATCTTTGGTTCGATCTTTGCTTTCTTTGGAACGTTGCCATGCACCTGAGAAAGAATATTATGTAAGTTTTAGTTATTACCCTTCATCTGTTGAGAATTATGAGGAGAGTTATAAGTGCTTAAGAGCAATGAAGTTTCACAAGCTTTAGTGTTGGAATTTCATTCTGGCTTACAAATATAGGGTTACTCTTGATTAAGATTTTTATATCATATTCAGGTTTTGAGAAGTCCCTTCTATGCACTTTTTCGACCATTGAGAGGTAAAGATATCTTTTCTCTAATTTGAGGTGACTTCTACTCTTGTATCTGTTATTGTTCATCTACGTTTATGCATTAAAGATCTTTGTTAATTGGATCCTCTTTGTTTCAGTACCTAAACTTATTCCTCACTCGATGGATGGTTTGGGAGAAGAATCTTTTGCCTGGAGCAGAAGAGGATGCATTGAATTTTTCATTGTAAGGGAAACGTTTCAGTCGTAGTATATGTTCATTTTTCCTTGTTAAAATTGTTTTTACTTGATGTCAAGAAATTGAAGCTTCACAAGACATTTGTAGATGCTCTATTCATGGTGAATTTTAGATGAAGAAAATGTGAACCTTGTGCTAGTCTACTCTTTCAGGGTCCAGGCATAGATCTCTTACGAATGTGTGTCAGTGCTTTACCTTTAGATTCTGAAGAAAAGTCTTTAATTTACTTATTTAGTGTGCTGTTATAGTACCATTATAACCACTTTAGTAGAAGTTATAGTGCAAACTCTCGATACTCTAGATGGCTTTTGCTAATTGCTAGATTGTTACCTTTGTTAATTGTTTTATCATGGAATAGTGTCCTTTACTAAAAATTTCTCATTCAGCATTGGAATTGCATGATAGAAGATATCTTTATGGACTTGAATTATAAAATTTGCATGTCATATTCAACTGGCTATTGTTGTGTAAAAGGTGTTTAAATATTGTGGTATAAACAATTAGCTGATGCTCTTTAGTGTACCATCGAAATTGCAGGCCCTGATGATTGGATGTATTTATATATTTGAATACTTAACTGTGAAGTTTTCTTCTTCAGCGGGCTCTGATATTTATCTCAACAGATGAAGAATACAGTGGTTTCGCATTTGTACGCTTATTGGGCTCATTTGGAGCTAAATTTGGGAAAAGATCAAGCTGCAGCTCGGGGCTTTTGGGAGAGCATGGTTTGGCCCATTCATCTTTTCCTCTTTCTATTCCTGTATAGTTCAATATGATTGATTTATGATTCATCTTCTTATTTTTTTCCGTATAACTTGTTTTTGTTGTGCAGCAGGTCAATGTTGGAAGCCTGGCGGTTATATAGCTATGGAAATTGAATGGACATTTAAAGAAGCTAGGTCCATCTATAGGAGATGCTATAGTAAAAGATTTAGTGGGACAGGTTCAGAGGTATAATTCTTTTACATTACTTGCTTAAATATTCTAGATTGATTTAGGACAGGATTTGAATTTGAATGTTTCTAAATGGTTTTTCTATTTTTTTTTTTTTTTTGGAAAATTGTTGCTTTTAGTAGTATAGATGCAGCTTTATTAATCAATTGATATTTTTCATCTGCAATGCAAACATTTCTATCTTTATTCTTTTTGTTGCTGATGGAAGTTGAAACCAGACAATGGCTTAAGTCAAGGTTGTTAAAATGTTTTATCCAGGAGGGCAATTTATGGGGATCTTTTGAACTCTTGACATAGAATCATGCTTGCAGCTGAGAATATTTTTAGAGAGAGCCTTGCAATAAGGTCAACTGTTACTGGGCACCAGATCACAATGGCTTAATATGTCATTGAAAATTTTCAAATCATACGTAAGTATATGACAGTATCTTGGGGATCATGCTAGTTGAAAATCCATGGTTTATTTTTTTAACTTCAAACTTTAGAGTTACTATACTTTGATGAAATTGTGGCATATATGAAGCAATCACATTTAAACCATGGTAGCATAGTAGTTTTTGAAACACAATAGGCTGATATCTTTTTCCACTTGGCTTATTTCAATATGTTTGAAGAAAAGTTCTTAATTCAAGCTTTACTTTCCGAGTTTATGTCAAAATATGCTATAGGTTAAATAAAACTTATTGATGTAAATAATTTATATGACCTATCATAAGTCATCTAAGTTTCTCTTTTTATATGATCAATTTAGGGTTTAGTTTGATAAAGTTAACCTTGTATTTTCACTTAACTTGATTGACCTTACTATGTTTAACGGATTGTTTCCCAACTCTCTGCTCTGTCCGCTCCCATTCATATAATGATCTCATTGATGATTCACTACACATCTAAAGTTACTGACAATTCTTGCTTCTTGATTTTATGATATTGAAATATTGTTTTGGGTCCACAACTCCAAGGTGACTTTCTTCAATTGTATGTACTGCCTTTTGGATTTGTTGATATATTTTTTCATAAAAAACAGAGTTATTCAGGCATATGCCACAACTGGTTGGTTTTGAGAGGGAATACGGGACACTTGAAGATTTTGACCACCTGCACAGAAGGTAACATTCCTGCTCAGTTTTAATTTATTTGTTTTAAGTGCCAATTAATCACGTATTTCTTTTTTCAGTCTAATTTGTAGATGCATTTGCTTGCTATTGAGAACTAGTATGTATAGATTTATTAAAAAACAATGAAGTGTTAACTAATGATATTTTAGCTGGTTGCGATGTCCACCTTATCTAGTAACAATATGTGTTTGACTAAAATGTGCCACGTTAGCAATTGTCTTTGATGACCTCAAATGATGTGCTTTTAAATGAGTTGTGTTTATGTGCCTCTATACATATTATGAACTCTTTGTTTCTTTCTTGTTAGAGCTTAAATACTACTGGTGGACTTGCTATCTTTTAAATTTATGTTTAAGTGAAACTTAATAGAGTATTGTAGCAAGGTGGTCCACACAGTCTTGTGTTAAATCTCTCTATGAGATTTGGGTCAGTTTGGTTGTGATCCAAAAATAATTTTGAAAAACTAGTTACAATTAAAAATTTAAAAGTTTTATCAATATTTAAATATTTGAAAATTTTTTGGTATTCAAAATTTTTTTTTGAAGTTAAAAACTATATAAAGACCGAGAAGATATTTTTCTGTTTTTTAATTTTACACTAATTTTTAGGATATATGCAAAAAACATTGTTTTGAAAAATTTCAAATTTTAATAAAACGTATTTTCTTAAAATCCAATAGTCCTTGTTTTAGAAAAAAAACACTATTTAAAATTTATATCAAATAGGGTCTATTTAGATTATAAATTTGTATTTGTATTATGTTATATTATGGTTGTGATTGTGGGTGTTCAGACACGAGATTGTTTAAATTTTAAGTATGGTTGTTGGACGCTAACTATCAATTTAAGTTTTACGTCAAGTTGTTACGTAACATTGTTAAAGTGTCACTGAATTATGTACATCGCTTAGTATTATTGAATGTATGCAATCCTTGCTATTTTAACTCAATGCGTAAAGATGCTTGTCTTGTTCCCTTCTCAGGTTACAACCGCTTGGAAGAGCTGCAATTATTTAGGTTACAGTAGGA